GCCATAACTAACCTCAGATTTTGCAAACCCAGAGGTTTAAATCGGCGACCTGTTGTAAGTTCACAGCCACTACCAAGCACTATTCCTATTAATACTAAGATTAGTCATAATATGGCGCCTGGTGGGGCCTTGTAACTCAGTTGGCTAGAGCGTCGACGGTACTTAAGCCCAGCCCTTGCTGGCACAGATTTGACTCCCAACAAGGGTGTCAAGTTTTTACAAGTAAGTCGAATGAATGGTTAATATCTGCCAACTTACGCTTTCCCCGCCCACTAAATACTGCTTCGAATACTCAGGGTGTGCCTGCTCCCACGGGCTTTCTGACACGGTCCTCAGTACTGGAGGTCAAGGCCACCAGTCGCAGCCCGCCCAGAGAGCGAATAAAGCCGCAAGCCACACCTCCTTCCGATGCCCTTTCCGCATCACCGAGGGAAGTGAGCAGCGATCCTCAGAATTGCAAAATGCCAGAACCCTCGACAGCCCGAACAATTCCCCTTCTGCTGTTTGATCATCCCATTCAACGCCTTCTACCCCCACACGTGGCGGTGGCCATAGACAGGCGGACAGTGGCCAAAATGTGCCACATTTGCTTCAAGGCAAGTCTACTGAATACTATTTTACAAGATTGCACGTCTAATAACTTGACACTAGAGTGAAAATCTCAATATGACCCCTTGGTAAATAGCTACAGTAGTCCCGAGTTGACCAGCTAAGGAAATCCGAAACCGGCCTTCAAAAAACTAGAAACGCTGGGGGAGTCTTCTACCCTACTTTTACTCTAAGTTTTGTTTGCAGGGGACGTTTGAACCTCGCTCTCTCTTCAATGCATGCTTAGATACTAATAGACCTGTTGCTTGGACACAGAGAAGTAAAATTACACTTCCTTTGGCATTGGTTTCCGCAATATGACAGAAAGTATGTTGCTGACAACTGCTATGTTTAATAATAATGGAAGGCACACATCAAGCTAAAAAAACTTCTACCTCCTAATATAGACGTAATTTTTTCAAACATTAAGCGAGCCTGTAGTAAGTTATAGTAACCTTCACATCAGAACGAATTGCGCATTTCACCCACCGAGTTTACAGTCCAAAAAGATAAGTAGAATGGTCCACAGAAAAATCACGGCCCAAAAGATATCAGGCACAGGATCAACCACTTAATGCTTTTCTAAGGCATGCTACTGAAGTCGATTAAGTAGATATGATAAATGCGAGAATAAACTGAAATCCAAGAATGCTAACGATGAACCTGTGAGGTATCTCCCAAATCCAAAGGGAGGAAGAGGATTCCTTCGGCGGATTTCAGTATTTAAGTTGAACTCAAAAACTAATATATATTCTCATTTACTCAGTCCATAGTCATAAGAGCAGTGTTTGACTGGGCTTTTTGAATCACTATGACACTTTGAGTTGAATTCCATCAGTCACAGCAGGACAATTGCATCATCTCAATCAAACTATCAACGGGCATTAAGTTTGCACGACACATCATATTGGTATTAACTAAAAGTTTAGACTGTGCTTGCGTGACAAGACTGCGAGGTGTTCGGTAATAACTGGGTATCTCAGCGTTGGTGTGTTTTCTGGTTGACAGTGCAATCATTGAAATTGCTGGTTTTAAAGTTCCTCAGAAATTAAACGGAAAGTTGAATTATACTAGTATGCATTCAGCTGTTGGCCGTTTGATAAATATTGCGTAGTTATAGCTCTGTGATCGATAGGTTCGGCCAAAACATAAATAATAAATGTTCGTATCTACCTATAAAGCTGTTTGAATTAAGTTTCGTAAGGTCACACTAAGTTGCGGGCTCGCCCCAACGAACCAAGCTTGACAGCTGTTCCGCGGTATACGAGTACGCTAGTTAACCGTAATCAAAATGTTAATTTGTCATAAAAAGGAAAAGCAACTTACTCAGTAGGTAAGGCAACTTTTTTTCAATTTTTAGGAATTCCCGGATGAAATGACGGTTCTAAAGCACCAGGTGATTGAACATAAATTCGACGAGAACCAAGGGGCGGATAAAACGGAACAAAAGTGCAAAAGGTAAGCATATTTGCCATTTTCACTATCCAGATGCTGCTTGCCTCGACAGAGTTTGCGTTTATAATAAACCATCATTTCTAATAGGCAAACGCAGCATTTTTGTAGTGGTAAAAGTAATGGTAATATGAATGCTCCCGATTCCTGTCACTTAGAAATATTAGAGTATTAAATTACCCTTTGCAGTGAAAGTAACAACGCGTCCCATATGAAAATATTATTCCAACAAGTCTGCACAAATAGGAAATAAAGCCCGAAGACAATTTAGAGAAGGGGGTCAGATCTGATAAGTTACCGTTTATTTAAACAATTTTGAGCTGTGGCATAAGAAAGTAGTTCCTCTCGTCATATGTACAAACGTAAAGCGAGCTGTGCAAAATCACACACAAAATGGAAGAACTCATATTTTGATTAAACTGATAGGCGCATTGATGTTTTTTATATTACCAATTCCGATAAAACCTGACCGCAATGTTTTTCAAACTTTCAGTGAACGCTTCGACAGTTCGCCCATTTAGGGCCACTTGGAAATGACGCTGCTGCCATGATCCTTTCATACTTTCTGACGAATAAAATTCGAACCCTCGTGTTTTAATTCTATTGGCTTTCTTTTTAAAGGGAAAATAATGTGTAGATGCAGAAAAGAAAAATAATGTTGCGGAGAACGGTGTGCGCAAAGAAACCAGGCGGCTGACTAAGGAAGGAATACGCCGAATTGCAGGCATCGGTATCACAGGTGAATATGCAAGCTCGATAGATGCGATCATGGTCAGGAAATGAAGTGTACTGGCACTGGTTGCCCATGTCCATCGCACTACACCATCGAGTTGTGCCCATAATTGCTTAATAAGATAACAAAAGTAAGACACATTATTTGAGCAATGACATACCTCCATAAAGTGCGGTGGTCTTAACGCAAAAGCGGGCATTCGAAACCATGCATAACTGTTTAGTCAGGGTCGACTGGCTGTATTCCTTAAAGTTTTTATCCAAGCAGCCACTATTCTCGGAGGAATTGCATACGAAACAAGAGAAGCCGTCACAGTAACCTAAAGTAGTGGAGATGAGAAAAATATCAGGAAAATCGACAATATTAATATCCACGAAACCAAAATTTGCAGAGAGACTTCAAAAAGGTGTAAGAGTACCCTGATGGCAAAACGCTAGCGCCGCTGTGCTACTCTGTGCGCACGCGATTAACCTTCCCACTTGCACTTGTCACAGGGTGTCAAGCCCTTGTCTGCATCGACTACATCCGAGATGGCCCAGATTTAGACCGTGGGATGCCTGC